TGGCCGTGCGGGGTCAGCACCACCCCGGGCTGCCAAACGGCGCAGGAGTGATTCAGGTGACCAGCCGTTCATCTGTCAGGAGTGCGGCACGTGCTTTAAACGCAAGTGGTACCTAGTGGCGCACGAGCGCAAGCATTCAGGTGTGCGGCCGCACGCATGCGAGCACTGCGGCAAGCGCTTCCTCGCCTCGCACGACCTGGTGCGGCATCGGCGCACGCATACAGGGGAGAAGCCGTTTGCCTGTCAGCTGTGTGAGAAACGCTTCTCCAGGTCCTATGGCCTTTCCTGTCACATGAAGACGCACGGTCTCGCGTAGGCGTCACATCTGGCTCCGTCAGGCCAATTGGAGAGCTTTACTTAGTTGGGGAGATTCTGCTTCAAGAATTGGGAGGAAGGTGTTCATGTTTATAAGTGAAAGTATTTTTTATTAAAAGATGTACATTGAGATGGTGGGCTTGAATGAACAATTTCCTTTGCCACTGAATTGTTTTCAGTGTTTCTCTTTACTATACTTTAATATTTCCACGTGCAGTCACAGTTATAATATAGGACCTTTTTTCAAGTGCTGTTGATATATACTTAAAAAAGTATTTCCTTAATCATTTACTGCGTACATTTCAATAGGCATCAATAAAAGTTAATCTGCTCAATACTTTGTTGGTGTGCAAACAGTGATGTTAGTATGAGGGATTGTGGACACCTTCAAATAGGTTCGGTTTGTTTTTAAGACCAGACTTTATGGGATAATCTGAAAATTGTGGATCGTGTCTGCACAAGTGTGGCATGTTAATTTTGGGCATTCTGTAATTGTGGGTACAACAGATGTTAAGTTGGTCTTGCATTTGTTAAAACTGCATTTCTCAAACGCCATTCATCATGACCCATACATGTTAACGCTACACCCTGCAGGTACCTGACCTTGTAAACGTGTCCTATGTGAGAACGGGCACTAATTCAAATTAAGATTCTCTAAATTTGAATTGGGACATATGTATATGATAGGAGATGTTTATCAATCATCAACGGTGTGTAGCGTATCTCAGCCTATTTGTGTTTGAATGGGAAATGTTGGTTCATGTGGAAGGCAGACAATGGGTTGCAAAGACTGCAGTTTATGAAACTCAGGCTTCAGAACAATTGCACTAGCTCTCCTGCATTTGAGGAATAGTGACGGTGCTTAGTGTGAGGCAGGTTTGATTGTACAATGATGCATCACTTTTAGTTCTCAGATTGAACTATTCTGAAATCAGCATCGCAAAGCACATGGTCTGTCACATCAGCCGTATTTGGATTATAAAGTGTGTAATTATTTTCCTGCCAACATTCTGTTTTTGTGCCACAGCATAAGGGATTTTAACAAACTTACTAATGCAGGTAAATGGAGCTAACTTGAAAAATAATAATTCTCAGCAGTGCTCTCTTTATGTTTTCATTCCACCAGGTCACAAGAAGATAATAGAATCTGATCCAGGTGAGCCTCAGCTGGGTGCTTCAAATTACGTGTCCAGAAGTTTACCCATAGGCAGCCACTCGAATTACGCTAGCTTCCCTTACCATGCAGACGTGCACGGCAGTAACAATAACAGTAGCAATAGCAACAATAGTAGCCTCTCGCTGGGCCAGTCGTGCGAGATTCCGACCTCCAGCCAAGAAAACGCCGCAGCATTGGACGCACTGCAGAGGGCGGAAGAGAGTCTGGAAAACGAGTCAAAGTACCGCGCGTACACGCAATACAGGACCATCGACGTCGCCGGTGGCAAAGAGTTCCAGTGCGAGCAGTGCGAGGAGTCATTTCCCCACCTACACATGATGCGGGTGCACCTGCGCAAGCACACTGGGGAGAAGCTGTACACATGCGAGTACTGCGGAAAGGAATTTATCATCTCCAACAACCTGGCGCGCCACCGAAGGACGCACACGGGGGAGAAGCCATTCGTGTGCGACGTCTGCGGCAAGAAGTTCTGCATATCATACAGCCTGATCCGCCACAAAAAGACGCACGAACAGGGTGGGGGGGGCGAGCCTGAACTCGAGCCCGAAGTATTGGAGTAAAAAAGGAGAACAAGCGAGTGTTTCAAGAATAGTCATCTGGTCCAACCCATGTGAGACTAGGCTCTAAGGAAAGATGTCTCGGGTGTGGACCAATCAACTTCAAGGACAGTGCACATTATCAGAGTTATGTTCTTTTGTTTGTATTTTGACTGCAGGTATTGCGGTCTATGCAAACATGACTCCTTGTAAAAAGGTGTCAGTTTTGTTGCCAGATATAAGGGTAAAAAACCAATTATCATATTGGACAAACTTGTTACGTCTTTCTACCATCATGCTATAAAACTTACAAAACGGTAATTAAAGTCGGGATAAATTGTATGTAATTTAGTTTTTAAACTGAGTAGAAGTCATCCTGTGGTGGCCTCTAAAAAGTCAGTAATGCCATAATTTTACTCGATAGCAAATGTGAATACACATGTGTGGCCATTTTTATTTACTTCATCGCAGCTGCAACAGAACTCCAAAATGGATTCCTCTGCCTAATGGAGGGCGAGCACATCTGGAAATGTTGGTCTCGTTGAGGCGTTCCATATAACTACAATTTTCTTAATCACAAATAAATACTGGAATTTGTGTGCTGTTGCTGGCTTGCATATATTCAAGTTTTTTTGTCAAATGCCTTAGTAATAGGTACCGAGTAGAGATAGATTATATACGATAACCTCGAGAGGCTAATCCTTTTTATTCAGAATGAATTACTATTTTTAGGACTTATTGTGAATGGATGTTAACAGGCATTTTTTTTTAAATGGGAAGTGATGGTGCATTACCTGCTGTTGGTGTTGACCCTACTTGGCAATACTGGCTTGACAATTGGGAAAATAAATACTCAGGGGATAATCACTAGATTTCAGCTTAACTAAAGGGGACATTTGGCACCCAGTATAGCTCCAAAAGTAAATTTGAAGGTGCAACTGGGTGGTGCCAAATTTGCAGACGAGAAACGACTTTTGGCAGCAGCTTCTGATAGCAGAAACCCCGTCTGTTTGGGTACCCTCATCACTCGAAGCAGCCAAATAAGAACATGCTGAAATACAAGACACCACAACCACTACTGTACATATGAGCAACCTTAACCAGACAGAATCAAGTCCTTCATTATTGGTGGTACTACACCCTACATTTTCTGACACGTACCACCATTGATCTCTAAATGTATTTTTGCTGTTGTACAATATTCCTGTTGGCGTTAAAGTTAGGGACAATGTATACAAATGTTTTAATTGCATACGACTTGAATCTTTTTTAATTAACTTAAATGACATTAACCTATGGTAGGCTTTATTGTAAATAGTATGTGATGTTACAGCCACAGAAAAGAATTGGTAATACACTTTAATGTATTTTAATATTGATATTTTAGCTCTAGTGAGCTTGCCTTTCAATGAAATGCAAACTGCCCAAGAGATGCCCACTGCTGCTTTAGGCAGCTTTTAAAAACGGCAAAAAAATCCAATATTGAATGCTTCCACAGTTTTTAACCCTTGTGTTAAAACAAACATGTTGCTGGAATTGGTAGAATGCCGAACATTTGAATGGAAATACTTTTTAAGTGTATACATGACTGCATCTGTCCTTGCATGGATGAAGTTAACCAAGCTAATTAAGCATATGGTATAAATATTATAAGATGTAGTTGTCAATTTTCTTGCCCATTTGATAACTGCGCCACATTGTTATTTTGCCTTTATTTGTATACACCTGAAACCTATAAACTGCTTCAATATGCATGCTTTCTGTATTTGCAGTAATACATTGATATATTTGAGAATGTGTGAGCCTTATGAAATAAGGGATGACTTGTACAAAAGTTGTATATTTTAAAGATGCATAATCTTTCGACATTAAACATTGCTATTGTGTACTCAAACATTAAAAATGTCTGCTTAGTCTCAAACATGTAATGCAAACACTATCATACTACACTTTGGTCATCCGTACACGGACTCACTGGTTTCATCAATATATTGTCTTCAACAATGAAATAAATTGTCAGGTTTGCATTCCGAGAATTCAAACAAACCGAACCTCTTTTTGATGGGCCGAGTTAACCTTCGAAGATATGACATTCACATTGCTAGGTCAAGATTGGTCATCCTATGGAGAGGACAACCTTATGCTATAAGAATGTGTCGAACGTTCACTAACGGGCTCACGAATAGAAACGAACGTTCACCTCGTTTGCCTTTAAACCAGTATGACAGGTGAATACTACATAATTTTTAATGAAATACAAGCACAAACTAGTAATTTACACTGTCAATCGACTTCATGAATAGTTTTGAATAATTAGCCATTTGTCAATTCGCTGCTGGATAAAGGCTGAATGATGTTGACCCGTGGGGGTTGTTTGACAATGCATCGCCACGTTTGCTTAATGTGGCTTAGTGGAGGAGGCGCCTCAGGACTGATTCCCTTATCTTCTGATATTAGCTGTGGCCAGGAATCGAACTTGTGACCTATGGCTCATAACTCGGTGCACAAACTTCTGCATTACAGCTCCACTCAGTTTTGAGTGGTAAACACGGGTATAATTATGCCTGCGTAACGATGCACCTGTGATAGTAAACCGGTCTCGTAAAGATTGCTTTTCTGGTGGGTAGACGCGAATTATCCCAAATTTAGGACAAGTTTTACTTTTTGGAGCGCCTTAATGTCAGAACGTGGCAGCAGTGTCAGCACCATGGGGTCATCAACCTACCGCATGCGCCTCTTTAAGGCCCGTCTCGTATTCACATGAGTCGTGGCTTTTAAAAGTAGTTTTTTTTTACTGAATTCGAAAACAAGTGGTCGTCATTTCCGACCCCTGGCTTAGGCCATGGGACTTATTAATTGTGGGACCATCCACAGCCGGATGAGGCCGTGCCAGGCGTGGACACCAGAGGGCGCCCCGAGCATGATAATTCCCAGAAGTGACGACTGCTTTGGTTTCATCAGCCGCCCTTTCTCCAGTTGTGGGGGTCGTAGTTGAAGGGACGAGGGAGAGGGGAGTGGTTATACAGTAGTCCGAAGCCGTGGACGGCTCCTGTAGAACATAAAACAAATACCGACACAGTCTACTGAGTAGAGTTCACCCGTTGCAGCCGTGCATGAAGGGAGCGAAAACACGATATGCCTTAGTGTTATTTAGCAAAGCGTGGCCCCGCCTGGGTCTCTATTGTGACTTGGGGAATGCGGACATTGGTGCAGCCGTTTCTTTGTTGTTCTTTGTGGGGGTTTTCTTTTCAGTGATGAAATTTTGATTGCCTGTGCTCAGCTCAGTTTCAGCGAGTAGATCAGACCACCCATGGCTGTCGACATCCCTCGTTTGTTTCAGGAGCTCGCCCTGGATGATGCGACGTCCTTCACAGGGAGAGGGACAGGCCCTTGTGGCATGAGGGGCAGGTGCCCTCAGGGCACCCAGGGACATCCTCTCTTCCCTCGGGGAAGCCTAGGGTCAACTAACCACCGGGGAAGTCGAGGATCAGGTCACCCTCAGGGCACGAGGTCAGTCAACCACCAGGGAACTGTAGGGTCAACTAACCACCGGGAAAGTCGAGGATCAGGTCACGCTCAGAGCACGAGGTCAGTCAACCACCAGGGAACTGTAGGGTCAACTAACCACCGGGAAAGTAGAGGATCAGGTCACGTTCAGAGCACGAGGTCAGTCAACCACCAGGGAACTGTAGGGTCAACTAACCACCGGGAAAGTAGAGGATCAGGTCACGCTCAGAGCACGAGGTCAGTCAACCACCAGGGAACTGTAGGGTCAACTAACCACCGGGAAAGTAGAGGATCAGGTCACGCTCAGGGCACGAGAGGGTCAGGTAGTCAGGGAACTAGAGGGTCAGGTCACCCTCAGGGAACGAGAGGGTCACATTACCCTCACAAGACCATAGGGTCAGGTAACTTCCATGGCACCAGAGGATTATGTAACTCCCAAGAAATCCAAGGATCTTATTCGAAGGACTTGCATGGATGTTCCTACCCTCGGGGCACCCAGGGACCGATTGGCAGTCAGGGAAAAACACGGCGGTGGCCTTCTCAGGGCTCGGAGGTGCAAAGTTGCTTCAATGTGGCTCCCGAGGGCAGCTACACACACGGCAGCCCTCACAGCAGCAACGTCCAGGGCCAACAGGGACACGGAGGCCACCAGCAGGGCAGCAGAGGCCATGGCAGCGGAGAGCTGCCCAGAGAACCCCAAAGGAATGGGGGTTCCATGATCCAGCAGAACCATCAGACCCAGCACGGCGGTAAACGTGGCGACAGGGGTCCCAAGAAGCTGTTGTTTCTGCTACGAGGACCTCCGGGCTCTGGCAAGTCAACACTGGCAAGGTACTGGGATGGATGGCCAGCGTTCAGTTGCATAGTTTATGTAAGATGTTCAGTACTTTTTAAAATCCCACTGCAGGATGGGGGTTGACGTCATGCAGGTCATCATCACGATCCATGGGCATCAGTCCGTTGGTGGCCACTGCAGATTTCGTCATTTGTTGCCACTTTCCTCTGCCTCGTGCCAATATATTGAAGTAGTGCCACATCTTTCTGGCACCAATATCTTATGTTGTCAAGCTATTATATTCTTGGTTCTTTCGGGGAAATAATAAAATAAAAATATATATTTTAAAAAATTCTCACGACGTTTCGACTGCAACACAAGCAATCATCATCAGGTGTGAAATCCACAGCAAATTTTCCACAACAAATGTCCTTACAATCATCATCAGGTGTGAAATCCACAGCAAATTTTCCACAACAAATGTCCTTACAATCATCATCAGGTGTGAAATCCACAGCTAATTTTCCACAGCAAATTTCCTTACAATCATCATCAGGTGTGAAATCCACAGCAAATTTTCCACAACAAATGTCCTTACAATCATCATCAGGTGTGAAATCCACAGCAAATTTTCCACAACAAATGTCCTTACAATCATCATCAGGTGTGAAATCCACAGCAAATTTTCCACAGCAAATTTCCTTACAATCATCATCAGGTGTGAAATCCACAGCAAATTTTCCACAGCAAATTTCCTTACAATCATCATCAGGTGTGAAATCCACAGCAAATTTTCCACAACAAATGTCCTTACAATCATCATCAGGTGTGAAATCCACAGCAAATTTTCCACAACAAATGTCCTTACAATCATCATCAGGTGTGAAATCCACAGCAAATTTTCCACAGCAAAATTTCCTTGCTGTGGATTTCACACCTGATGATAATTGTTTGTGTTGCAGTCGAAACGTCGTGATAATTTTATTGTTGTATATGTTTATTATTTTATTATTTCCTTTCTACGCGACTTTACCGAAAGAACCAAGAATATGAATCCCTGCAGTCACGAAAGCTTTAAATCAAATTTTGTCAAGCTATTGTTAGGTCTTCCTCTCTTTCCGGTGTGGTCAATTAATCCTCACGATCATGCAGTGGCAGATGCGGATACCTGATGCACAAATGTAAAATAAAATAAACACTTCAGTGTGTGACTGTGGCCATCCAGAACCGACCATGTATATAACGATGCAATGCCCGATCCACAAATATGAAGGGAGACATCACAGCGATACATTTCGCTGCTCCTGCTACAGTTGTGTGGCCTGACCACCTGAATGTTGCTCTGCATCTACATCAGCCATACGAAGGAAGACCAACACGTTAGCGAGAGTGCGTCACGGTGGCGAGATGTTTAATATATTGCCTGGTATGCAATAGGTCTTTGGAATTTTTATGTTCTCCCCGTAGTCGCGTAGATTGCTCTCCAGGTCCTCCAGTTTTCCCCTCCACGATTAGAAACATGCATTGAGTATTTGCCTGCCCTAAATGTCCACACGATGAGCCACTTCGTTGAGCTATCATTTGTGGCCAGGTCGCTTCTGAAAAAGATTTGTAATAGCTCAGTGAACTTTACCTGGTAAAATAAATAGTTGGTCTTGTTTCCAATAGCATCCCAGGTATTGACTCGGCCCGGACAGCACTTCATCTCCCCAAGCTGCCTCGTCACGCGACTGCCCATGTGTGTCTTGGGAAGGGCAGGGCCTAATGTACTGCCCGTCTGCCCTTGGCAATCATGCATGACCTTGTGACCCTACTATTACGCAATTCTAAACACGCTTGCCACAAGTTGGTGCCAATGTACGCACAACTTACGACCAAAGCCACACCTGTTTTACACATCGATAAAAACGTCTGAAAATAGGAACACGTTGAAATGTGTTTTTGCAAATCTCTAATCCAATAAACAAACAAAAAATCCAAAACTCTTCACCGAAAATAATGAATATTAATTCAAGATTTGAAGCTTTCGTGACTGCAAGGATTCATGCTGTTAGGTTTTTTTCGGTAAAGTCACGTAGGTAAAAAATAAAAAGTTAATAAAAGTAATAATGGAAATAAAATAAAATAATAACTTCGTGATTTATTATTTTATTTCCATTATTACTTTCATTAACTTTTAATTTTCTTTTTTACCTACATGACTTTACCGAAAAAACCTAACCGTATATATCAATATTGCCAAGAGTAGTATCACCACGCATGTTTAATATTATTTTTCTGCACACACTAGTTTTGAAAGAATATCTGCCGAAGTAAGGATAGTATTTTTCAGAGGTGGGACAAAGTCATTGTTATGCAAGTCCAAGTCGAGTCTGAAGTCATCAAATTCATGACTCGAGTCTGACTCGAGTCCAAGTCACATGACTCGAGTCCACACCTCAGAGGTGGGACAAAGTCATTGTTATGCAAGTCCAAGTCGAGTCTGAAGTCATCAAATTCATGACTCGAGTCTGACTCGAGTCCAAGTCACATGACTCGAGTCCACACCTCTGGTATTTTTACTGGAGAATCTATGGGTATACTGGGCGTCTGTGCCTTCTCACCTTCACTAATTGGCACTGAGCAGTGTGGTGAAGCATCGCCAAATAACCCCCACCACTTGCACAGCGTGGCAATGCCTTCATTCAGCAGTGGATTTGCAAAATGAGCCGGATATACATTTCGTGGATTGCTAAAGGTAAATTGTGGAATTTCAATTAAATTAATGTTTCTTGGGGTACCGTGTTCGTGAGATGTGAATTTTTACGATATGTAATCTGTGTAGGGAGCTGCTGTCAGAAGGCCCAAATGGAGTGGTTTTAAGCACGGACCAATTCTTCTGTCATAACGGACGCTACGAATATAATGCGAGTCAACTGGAGGCAGCGCACACCTGGAATCATCAACAAGGTGGAAATGTAATTATACTGTGTAAATAATTAACTACTGTAATCATCGATATATTTAATGCACTCGTGTCCATCAGTCATCTCCCGAATAGTACGGAGAAAAACACGTGATATCCAAAATATACTTATCTTACACTATGATACCTCGTTTACCAGTGGCAAAATATAGTAGTAGGTTTTTACCCTTTAAACTGGTATAAAACTGACACCGTTATACAAGGCATCATGTTTGCAATAACCACAACACAAGCAGTCAAAATTCCAACAAAAGAAACACTCTGATAATGATATGCACTGTCCTTGAAGTTGATTGGTCCACACCCGAGACAGCTTTTCTTAGAGCCTAGTCTTCATTGGTGTTGGACCAGAAGAGGCCAAAAGGCGTCAAAATGCATTTGATAATGCATTGTCTTTGAGCTGCACGCCTTTTGGCGTCCTCTGGTCGAGCACCAATTGGGTCGAGGCTCAAAAGAAAGCCGTCCCTTGGTGTGGACCAATCAGTTTCAAGGACAATGCATGTGTTTTTGTTTGCATTTTGACTGCAAGTATTGTAGTTAATGCAGACATGAATCCTTGTAAAAAGGTTCAGTTTTGTTGCCATAAAAAAGGGGGAAAACCCCTATTATTATATTTTGGTACTGGCAAAGGAGGTCTAATGATGTAGAGGCTGTACACTTTATAAAAACAAATAACCCAATGCTTTATTCGATATGACACTGTATCCCTAACGAGTCTCACCATTCAGCGATGTGCTGTAACTTTACAGCAGAAAAAGCGATGAAGTTAGGAAAGTCACCAGTTATCATCGACAACACGAATCTGAATTTTTGGGAGATGAAACCCTATGTTCTTGCGGTAAGTTTATCTGCATCTGTAAAATATACATTTACAGGTTTAATGTCTTTTTTTACATGCTTGTTTCATCCTGGAAATCAAAATACTTGTTCAGGATGGTCCTAAGTTTTTGCAGTAGGGGGGGGGGGGTGATGGTTGCTATGTTTCCCAATGAAGTAATTTTTCAAATTTGGGTGACATCTGCCAAATATTAAAATAAGTCTAGCCTCATGGTAGTTCACCCCACCTCCGATTAGTGCCCCACCTCTGATGAGCATGATAGACTACATGCGGTGCAAAAGAAGTTCAACATACCCTTAATATTGTGCTTCGGCCCAACTGCATCGCAATTCATGTTTAATCTTGGTTTATGTGCAATTAAATATACATCACATACCTGTAACATGTGAGGATTGTCTTTGAAAAAAAGTAAGTTTGAGCGAAGGCAGAGTAGGTGAACAGAAAAGGTGAATAAGCAAGTTCAACTGTAGAAAGATTACAATTACATCTAAAATGTCAAAAACTCATTCCTGCGGAGGGAGCTGGTAGGAACGTTGGGTTGCTCGGTCAATGGCCAGGGTCAACGGCGGCGTGGTGTATTCCGCAAATATGACCGACTGTGAGGGCGGGCACAAGCCGGTGTGAGTAGGTTAAACGTTGAGTTTTATAAGGGCACCACGGGGTGACCAGCCCCACCCCTCCCACCCCCCACCCAGCCCCACCCTCCCCACCTAGCCCCTCCCCACCCTCCCCACCCAGCCCCTCCCTACCCAGTCCCTGCCCACCCTTCCCTCCCCACCCAGCCCCCCCCTCCCCACCCAGCCCCTCCCCACCCTCCCCTCCCCACCCAGCCCCTCCCTCTCCACCCAGCCCCTCCCTGCACGACGGACAGACACAATAATCCCCTGTGGACTGGTGTAACCAGGAGGTTCCTACCAGTATAATCCTCTTTTCTATACTGCCTGCAGGAAGGGAAGTCACGCAATTTTGTCATTTGTCCAATCCACCGACCACCTCTGCAAGTGATGGAATGCATTACCACCACTGCCAGGCGTTAATTATTTTGTCATTTAAAGATTTTTTTTTCTTCCACCTTTACGTCAGAGGTCGCAACCGGGTACCCGATACCCGTACCCTAACCGATACCCGGCTACCCGTACCCAGCCGGGTACGGGTACGGGTAGCCGTTTGTGACCCTGGTGTGGCCGGGTACGGGTAGGACGTGAGTCACTGGTGAGTAACCGTTTGTCACTCATTTCGGGTAGGGTACGGGTAGGGAACGGCTACCCGTACCCGGCCAGGTACGGGTAGCCATTTGCGACCCTGGTGCGGCCGGGTACGGGTAAGGAATCAAAACCCGTTTGCGACCTCTGCTTTACGGTCATATCTATCCTCATTACAACTCAACCCAACAATTTAACAGTACTTTCAACATCATTTTTTTTTGTCCCATGAGCATTCACTTCCATTCTCTAAGTTGAAATAAGTGTAGTAAAATATTGCCTATTTTGTGCAATGTAATCTTAGAAATGGATTGAACGTAAATAATCGAATAAATCAGAATTTTGCCATAGATCCACTATACTTTAGTTGCGATGTTATGAAGCTGAAATAAGTGATATTGAATGCAAATATGAATTAATGCTTTCTAATTGCAGGCTCTTGAACATACATACAAAGTTATTTTCAAGGAACCAAAAACACAGTGGCTCTTGAACGCCAATCAACTTGCAAGGTAAGAAAGCTCAAAGTGTATGGAGGGGAGTAGAATGAGAAGAGGGGAAATGCAGGACTTTAAAATGGAGAGTGCTTGAATTTTATCTTGGAAATGATTCGTGAAAAAGTACATTGGTGTTCTTGCTTTCTTCACAGACGAAACACGCATGGTGTCACTGTGGAGAAAATTAAGCGCATGCTCTTACGGTTTGAACGCCCAGCTTCCATAGATAAAGTACTCAATTCATAATAGCCCATACAACATTTCCAAATGTGATTAACATAAATCGGTATAAATAACTGCTATGCTGTCAACATACAAAAACATATTTTGGAGGTGAATTAAGAAAAACCTTGCGCTTGGGTTTTATGTAAAAGGAGGGAACCCACCATTTATTTTAGCAACAAGTTGAAAATAGTGATTGTACCGAGGTGAAATCAACAATGTCTAAAAATGTTCTCAAAATTATGAATTTCGTGCAGTTTTATACATTTGTCAAGCACTAACATTTTAATGAAAGCGCGTTCATAATCAGTTACACAGTATGACTTGTCCTACGAATTAACATTTATTGTGACCTTCAGGTAGCTATGTTTATCAAAGACGTATTTCTCAACAGTAAAAAAAGAAATTTTGATTTAAAGCTTTCGTGACTGCAGGGATTCATATTATTGGTTCTTTCGGTAAAGTCACGTAGAAGGGAAATAATAAAATAATAAAAATATAAAGCAATCAAGTTTTCACGACGTTTCGACTGCAACACCTGATGATGATTGCTTGTGTTGCAGTCGAAACGTGAGAATTTTCTTGTTATTTTATTATTTCCCTTCTACGTGACTTTACCGAAAGAACCAGAAATAGTAAAACAATATATAACTGATATTTCCAATTTTATACTAAACTGTTTTGTCTTGGAATAACTATCGACATTTGAGTTTATGCCCAAAAGCAACAAAAACTCTCTGTGGCCTTATAGTGTTTGAAAATATATTTTACCCACAAAATCATATACAAGTAAATGCTATTGTGCTTTTTAAAGTTTATAACACGAGCTAAAAATGTCATACATTGCAATTTAAAAAATGGCAGAAATTGTATTAAATGTGCAATTGTGTTTTTTTGAAAGCAGGTGTATTCAGTCTATCAGATAATAGTACTTACATTTTCTGAATTCTGTTAAAGCTGTCAACTGTTGGCCATCAAATATACATATTTGGTTCTGTAGATTTTTTTTACATGTTATATTGGTTTTATCCCAATCTTTCTACATGTTTAGGTATTTTTAAAAATCAAAACATGTCATTTTAATCACAACATTGAATACATTTTTCTTGTAGAACAGGTATATTTTGTAAATCGTTTAACTTATAAAAGAGAAAAAAAAAATCAAAAACTATACGTGTCTATGGTGGGTGTGTTTGCGAACATGTGTGAGCGTACATCTATGTAGGACATATCCTGAGTCTGATAAACATATGAGGAAGTAGTTGTTGCAAGGGAAATATGGGAAGAAGAAAGAAAGATCGGCCTTTAAGACGATGTGAAAATTTTACATGAAAGATGGTCAAGGTCTTGAAATATGTAAAGCATCTGATGAAATGGCAATCAACCCTAAATTGAGGATGACATGAGAAAAAAAGAATAATATATTTAAATATAATCTGAAAAGGTATTAGACAATGTCAAAATGGTTAAAATAAAATATTTATCCCCTTTTATTGCAAAACTATTACAGGTCCCTGCCCAGTTTTCGACTATTAATCTTTCAAGCATTACAAAAATCCGACAACCACTACACTGTGAAAAGCAATCAATATACGGGCAATTGTGTTCCTGAGACCCGTTCGTAAGGTGAAACAATGTCTTGTATTTAAATGCACATACGGTCAGTGTACTAAAATATGTTACAGTTCAACAAAAGGGAAGCATAATAAATATTGCACAAATAAATGTAATCAATACTGTATAGCAAACAAAACATAAAATAAAGTAGCTAAAGAAAAAAAGCCTATTTTATTTTCACTAACCTTGAGTCCTCATGCTGGCTTGCTTGTTGGAAGAGGCATAATGAGTCCCCACAACAACCGCATCGCCTTAACAGACTGTTTGGCTGCTATTCTTAGGTTTTTTCGGTAAAGTCACGTAGGTAAAAAATTTAAATTAATAAAAATTTAATAAAAATTAAAATCACGACGTTTCGGAGGCAACACAAGCTTCCGTCTTCAGGTGGAACCGTCACAGCACGACTGCTGCATATGTTTGGCTGCTAGCGAGCAGCACCGATGAAGGACCGGCACGGCACACGAGGGGGTGGAGGTTGGTCAGCACCACGCCTGGCCACCTTTAGCTCCCCAGTGGCAATGTTTACACACTGAACCAGGTACTCATTTCAGGCTTAGTCAACCTAGGCGAGGGGTCCAGGTACCATTCAGATAATCATCACCTGGTGTTGGTCATGAGTGGGAATCGAACGTGGGGCAGCATGCTAACCATTTGCACGACCACTTCCCGCACATGCACTCACTTTCACAACACCGTGGGATCCTGTGACTCATAACATCTCGTGGAGGATTTCTTCTCTGAACAAAATAGTTCCACAGCTCGGTTCACAAGTCAGATGTTTAAAAAGGAAAGATCTTATGGAAGTCGGCCATTCTTAAGTTGGGAACTGTCTGTGGAAACAAATTCCAACAACATCCATACCTTGCATTATCTTCAGCCACATGCCCAATCTTTTATTGTCTCCAAAAACATTGCCATCCATCTCAAACCATGCATCGGTGCAGCCAAGCGCCAAGTGATCTCAACTGGTGGACTGGTCTTTTTAGCGATCCCTCCTTTGACTACCGCTCGGTTATTAGTTTCCGCTAACCATTATCCAAGTGTTCAATGTAGACTGGGATTTAAAAACATGTTGAAATTATGAGTCGATGAAGGCACATTTTACGTCCACTTTAAATAAAACGCAAATTTTTTTGGTTTTAACTAAAGTGTTTCAGCCCGGTTTCGAACCGGAGACCTTTCGCGTGTTAGGCGAACGTGATAACCACTACACTACGGAAACTGCTTGGCAAACCTGTGAAGTTGCAACACACTTCACTGGTATAGAACTATGCCAACAGTCAAGAATGATGAACTCATCAAGTTCATGAAGGCACATTTTCCGTGCACTTTAGATAAAATACAACAATTTTTTTTTTATTTTACGTAAAACGTTTCCGCCCGGTTTCGAACCGGGGACCTTTCGCGTGTTAGGCGAACGTGATAACCACTACACTACGCAAACTGCTTGGCAGCCCTGTGAAGTTGCAACACACGTCACTGGTATAGACCTATGCCAACAGTGAAGAATGATGAAATCATCAAGTTCATGAAGGCACATTTTACGTGCACTTTAAATAAAACACTAATTTCTTTGGTTTTACGTTAAATGTTTCCGTCCGGTTTCAAACCGAGGACCTTTCGCATGTGAGGCGAATGTGATAAATACTACACTACGGAAACTGCTTGTCCTAAATGCTAAGTTGCAACACACTTCACTGGTATAGACCTATGCCAACAGTGAAGAATGATGAAATCATCAAGTTCATGAAGCCACATTTTACGTGCACTTTAAATAAAATACGAATTTTTAGATTTTTAGTAAAATGCGTCCGCCCGGTTTCAAACCGGGGACCTTTCGCGTGTTAGGCGAACGTGATAACCACTACACTACGGAAACTGCTTGGCAAACCTGTGAAGTTACAACACACTTCACTGGTATAGACCTATGCCAACATTCAAGAATGATGAACTCATCAAGTTCATGAAGGCAAATTTTACGTGCACTTCAAATAAAACACGATTTTTTGGGGTTTTTCGTAAAATTTCCGCCTGGTTTCGAACCGGGGACCTTTCGCGTGTTAGGACTCATCAAGTACATGAGGGCACATTTTACGTGCACTTTAAATCAAACACGAGTTTTTGGGGTTTTACGTAAAATGTTTCCACCCGGGGACCTTTCGCGTGTGAGGCGAACGT